ATCTGGGATGATTTGAGTAACTGGGTAGGGGTCCTGGAAACTTGCTCTGCTGGGTCCGGCCCGTCTTTGCTAGTTCGCTGTTGCCCTCTGCTGGCGAAACTGTTGTCATCCCAGGAAACTGCAAATCTTGCAGGGCTCCTGCGTTCCCTCTTATACTGGAGGGTCTAGGCCCCTTCCTCCTCAAATAGTGAGATGACGGTGGTGCTGAGGAACAGCGGGGGCAAGAGGAGCAGAAGCAAATCTTCTGCCGGGAGAAACTGGCTCTCACACCTGAGGGGGTGAATCTTATGGTCCTAGTTTTTAATTCCATGTTCTGCTCACTTGCTAAGACGCTGCTCTCTCTTTGGCTCTGTGCTGGGCACAGTGAGGGGACCCAGACATGACTTAGGCACCATCTCTCCACTAGATGGTCTCTCATCAAACGTGGGGGAAACAATAGGACAAGTACAGAAATCACCCTCATGTAGAGAAGGGTATGACGAGGGCCCCAGCTGAGGCACTGATAGAGGCTTGCATGTATTTAAAGGAAAGAAAGATGACATCCACTTGGGGTGAGGAGGTGAGGGTAAGGCTCCGTGAAACAGACAGCATTTAAGCTGAGAACATGAAGGAGGGGTGAGATTTTTTATTTTTAAAAATATCTTTTTTATCATAAAAGTAAAATATGTTCACTATAAAAAAATTAATCTCTGGCTAATAGAAGCATGAAAAGCAATAAAGTCGTTTGAAATCCCACAACTCAGAAATAATGAGTATTAACATTTTCATCTATGTATATTTTTGCTGTTGTTGTTACAAAATTGGAAGTAACATGTTGTATCCTGCTCTTTCTCACTCTTATGGCATGCACATTTTCCCAATGTTACCGATTATTTCTTGAAAATGTGCTATTTTGGAGTGGAGTATTTCAATGTGTAACCCTGAGGATAGGATTCCCCAAAGCATATAGTTTGCACAGCACAGGGGTTGGTAATTCTTTACTAATTCATTTCAGAAATATTTTTTGGATACCTACAACCTTGGAGATACAATGCTAAGAACTGATTCTGTCTTTGTGGGGTTTACAATATAGGAGAAGACACAGACGTTAATTAGGCAATCATAGAAATAAGTGTAAAATTGCATCTGGGATAAATACTGTGAAGGAGAAATGTGCAGTGCTATGAAAGTATATGTTAGAAAGAAAAGAAGTCACAGAGGTCTAGGAAAGCTTGCCAGTGTAAGAAGTAATTGAGCTCAGCACTGTAGGAGTTAACTAGGTAAAAAATATTAGGAAAAACATTGCCAGAAGAGGGAACAGCATGTGCAAAGTCCCTTTAGTAGGAGTGGGCACAGTGAGTACAAGAAACTGAAAGAAGATCAAGGAGAATGGAGTGGAGAGATGTGGCCTGAGATGAGGTGAAAGAAATAGGTAAGGCCTGACCCTGCAGAGCCTCTTAGACCAGGTGAAGAATTTTCATCATTTCTCATAGGAGCCATGGAGAACTATTGAAGTGTTTGAGCTGGAGTGGGGAGGTGAAGGCCAGATTTGTTTTTTTTTAAAGTCCACCTTACTGCAGTATGGTGATGAGGTTGAAAGGAAAAAAGAGTAGATGTAGGTAAACCAGGTCTAGGTGACTAGAAGCCCAAGCCTAGATAGAGGGTGATTGTAACAGTCCAGGCAAGAGATGAGGGAAGACTGGATTAGGATGGTGAAGGTTGAGATGGAGATAAGCAGGGGCTTTGAGAGATATATTGGGAGTAAAATGGTTAGGACTTGGCATAGGAGGTCAGGAAATGGGATGAGTCCAGAATGACTCCTAAGTCTCTAGCTCGCATAACTGGATAGAAGGAGGGTTTTCCCCCAAGATAGGGAACTCTGGAAAGGGTAAGGTTTGTAAGGGACTGCCATGAGTGTTGTTTTGGGTGAGAGGTTTGCCAGAGAGAGCAATTCCAAGAGTGGTATACATCATCACATCGGCTCCTTCCAGAAGTGGGTTTTACCACATTTTTACACCACACTGAAGGGACCTCTATTTGGAGGTGGGTGGTACTGGGAAGAAAACGGACACTATGGGTGGATTTGGTGTCTTGATTGATACCTGTTTCAGGTCCCTGCACTACTGCTTGCTAGGTGTAAAACATGGAGCAAGTCATTTTAAGGGTCTCTGGACCTTAGTTTCCTTGTCTTTAAAATGAAGGTATTAACATCTAGTCCGAAGGGTTGTTGTGAGGATTAAATAAGGGCATTGATCTTCAAAGGCTTTGGTGAACCTCCACGAGCTGTACAAACACAATATGTTATTGTTATTCTTACTCTTGTATTTGTTGTGGATATTATTGCCAACCAAACTTTATATTAATATTACAAATATGAAATTCAATGTTTTCTCCATGAGTTATTTGGGGAAAAAGGTGTGATTGAAGTCTAAATAAATAAATATACCACCCAGGAGCTAGAGATGGTGGCCTTAAACTATTTATAATCCTGTGTGTTTGCTTGAATTCAGACTTTCCCAATATGTAAATTATGCAGAGTCTGTGTCACAGCAGAGCACTCTGTGTTCCTAAAAAGAATTCTTCTTTTCCCGAATCCTTTACCTTTTAAAATAAATCTCATTATGGAGTGCTGACATTTTCAGTAAAACTATTCAACCAAAAGCTGTGGTTTTTTTAGACTAAAAACACGTCTGGTTTATTAGGCAGCAGCTTATAACTTGCTGCTAAGTAGATGCAATCTATTTAGAGGAATTTATGTAGATATCTGATAAGACATTTCAGAGTTCCCGTCTCTTTCTGACTAAAACTGAGAGTGTTAAACAGATTATCAAGAATTCTCTCCTGGTCTCAGTGGAATAGGAGTTGAGAATCACGGTGCTGTTGGAATGGATGGAAATTGTAGAACCAAGATTTAAACCAAATCTCTTGGACTGTACACCACGAGCTCTAGTGCTGTATTCTAGCTGAGTGACTTTAGATGTGACTGTCTTTGAAGAGTTGTGGGGAGGTGTAGAGCTAACACTTGTATGTGCATAATGGCCAGCATACACAGGGCTTCCATCACCGATCTCAGATCTCCTCCTTCTTTTCTTCCTTCTTTTGGTTCTCCCACTTTCTTTCTCCTTCATCTCCCTTTTTCTCTCCATGTTTCCTCCTTTTCCTCCACCCATTGAGTTAACTGCTAACTTTCTCTTGCCTGTCTGTCTTTAGATTGCGCTGAGGAATGGCATATATTTGGGTTACCCAAAATTACTCAGTGACTTAGGTCCCTGCTAGTGATAATAACAGCTAGTTTATAGAGTACTGATTGAGAATCACTCCCCTTAATCCTCTCCCCAAACTTATGAGATGAGTACTAGTATCGTCTCCATTTTACAAATAAGAACATGAGCCATAGACAGAAGAAATGTCTGGTCTTACAGAGCTAGTAAGTGATAGAGCTGGAAGTTCCCACTCCCGACCCTCACCCAGCCCAAAGGCCTCCAAAATCATGATGACTGGTGTTCATTTATTCACTCAACAGATATTTATTTAGTGCAGGCTATTTGACAGGAACTGGACAGAGTAGCCCAGCATTCACAATCTCGGCCTTCATGGAACACACACACACACACAAACACACACTTACATGTAGGGATGATAATCCCTACTCATTGGCATTGCCCTATCCTCTGTACTGATCAGGCAGTGTCCATGTGGTAGCTGTTGCTAAACATTTTACATACCATTCCTTCTTACAAACAGTGATAAGTACCACAAAGGAAAAAGGATCAGGATGCTTTGAGAGAGTGTAATAGGGGGTTAAGTTTATATAGGAATTTAAGAAATCCTCTTTGAATGAGGCATTTGAACCATGACTTGGACAATGAGTGTTCTCAGCCTGCTATGAGATGACTCTGGTCAGAGGCCAGACCATACATGGACCTGCCGTCCATATTACGTAACTTGGACTTGATCCTAAGATCAAAGGGATGCTATTTAATAAAGTGAACAGGGGAGTGATGTCATTCTGTTTGTACTTTAAAAATAGCTCTGTGGTTGCTGTGTGAGAATGGATGAAAGTGTGATGCCCATACTATCTGTACATTAGATTGGTTCTGTGTTGAGGATTCAGTCACAAATCATCCTTTTCAGTCTTTTAGGGAAAACAAAACATATACTAAAACAATTCTGATAAAAGTCATGAAGTGCTGTATCCTAAAGGCTATAGTATACAGACAGCAAAAAAGTGCTGAGGGTGAGAGGAATTACAGGCCATGCTCACTTTCTTTTAGCCAGAAGCCATTGTTTTGATTCCTTCTTATTCTCTCTGTTGGAGAGAGTCTTAACCCTCAGTCGGAACTTTCCATGCATGCCCTAAAAGGCTCTCAAGTCTGAAGCAAATCAATTCAGTAAACACTTATCTAGTGTCTACTTTGTCCTTGGCTCATAAGAATCCCACTCCACTTGCTTCACTATATTTCTACCACAAGGATATGATAGAATGAGCTGAAATAGTGATTGCTTGGGAGTCAGTGAACTTGTGTTCAAGTCTCTATTTTATCTGGAGATAAAAAAGGTCACAATTCAACCTTTGGAGATTAGCATAAGCTAATGTATAGCGAGTCAAGTTTGTGGTACAGATTGAATTAGAACAAAGAGACATTTTTGATGTCCTTGGAGGAAGATTTTCTCCACGAAGTTTTCCTAAGCACTGAGAAGATGTGGAGGAACGCGAATCAGTTGACAGCCAACGTGATACAAACTTGCTCTTCCTCTGATGGGTCCCGTCATGGGTAAACATCTCTGAGCTCTGTGGCCATAAAACATATCCCTGTGACTTTCTGTTTTCCCTCCTCCCTTGGTCGCGGGGCTGGACTGAGAAAAGAGAAAGGCATTAGGTATTCTTCAGCCCCTTTTTCTTCTGAGGTGCTCAAACCTTACCATCTTCTGTGTTACTAGAAATGTTTCGGCGAATGCCATTATCTTTAACTTAGAAAGATTGTGCCATCAACTTTTCTTCTCTGTGATGATCCCTACAGGATAGACCACTGGAACAATGAGAAGGAGAGGATTTTGCTGGTCACAGACCAGACTCTCTTGATCTGCAAGTATGACTTCATCATGCTCAGCTGTGTGCAGTTGCAGCGGATTCCCCTGAGTGCTGTTTATCGCATCTGCCTGGGCAAGTTTGCCTTCCCTAGGATGTCACTGGACAAGTGAGTATGATGTCTTAGACTTGAGAAGGTGGTGCAGTAGGGGCAGGGCATATAGAGAAATCAGTCACAAAGTCAGTTGAGCACAGTAAGCTGGGAGAACCCAGAGGAGAACAGTGAAGCTCTACAGTTGAATCCATCAATCATTGAGTTCCTGTTCCATGTCGGACACCAGGGATACAGCTTTAAGTAAATTTGTACTTTAATATGAGAACCTGACAAGTAAAAGGTTGAGAGTAAGGTGGAAAGAGCTGTGGGAGCGTGGAGGAAAGGTTCTCAACCTAATTCTTGTGGCAGAGAATCAGAGAAGCTTTCCTGGAGAGGCACTTGAGCCAATATTGGGTGTCAGGTATGAGTTAGCCAAAGAAGGAGAACAAAAGTTTGAGAATATTCCAAAGCAAAGAAACAGCAAAACCAAAGGAGTGGACGTAGGACAAAGTGTAATGCCTTTGGAATTGAAACTATGCTGTAAAGTTCAATGGACAGAATCCACGATGGCTAATAGCTCTTCTTAAAAGAATTCTCTTTGGGATCTTCTCTGGAAGCTTAGTGGAGAGGAGGTCAACTGTCTTAGAGATGTTGACAGTTACCAGGAGACCTGGTGGGTCTACAGAAGAGACTTGCTGAGCTGAGTAGGCTCTTGTTATGGTTTCAGAAGGAACTGCCTTTCCTAGACATTTTAGATCTAAGCCAGAAGGAGAGCAGTCTTTCTCTGAGCCTCTGAATGTGAGCTCTTCCCATTACACTGTGAGCAACTTGAGGGCAGGTACATTTGTTTTTTGTTTGTGTGTTTGTTTGTTTGTTTTTGTCATTTAAGCACCTTGCCTTGGGCCTGGCACAGAGAAAGAACTGAAAAATCTTTCTAAAGCACAGCTTGATCAAGTAATTGGTTTCACTTACGTAAGGCATACCATATCAAAGCCATTTTTTATTTACTCTTTTCATCAATGCAATTAATTGATTGAGTTCCCTAACTTGATTTGATTGATTGATTTAGTTCACTAACTTTTCAAGCTGGTAGATTTTTCAATAATATATGCGCATTATAATTGTATATTTAAACATCACAAAAATGTTTATTTTCTGGAAATATCTCTCCCACTCCCGACTCTCAGTTCTCCAGAATTATCTCCATAGGTGATAATCAGCAATTTCATTTTTTGAAAGAAGTAGTCTATAAATATATAAGAATAAAAATGTCTTGGGGCCGGCCTGGTGGCACAGCGACTAAGTGTGCGCGCTCCGCTTCTGCAGCCTGGGGTTTGCAGGTTCGGATCCCGGGAACGCAGCAACACACTACTTGTCAGGCCATGTTGTGATGGCATCCCGTATAAAGTAGAGGAAGACGGGCACGGATGTTAGCCTGGGGACAATCTTCCTCAGCAAAAAGAGGAGGACTGGCAACGATGTTAGCTCAGGGCTAGTCTTCCTGCCCCCGTCAAAAAAAAAAAAAGAATAAAAATGTCTTTGTATGTATATATGTGTGTTTATATACATTTGTAAGTATATTTCTACACACATGTTCATCACAAATTATTTTACCCAATGGTACACATGTCATAAACTGTCTTGCCTCGAGCTGTTTTACCCAGTGGTATACCTTGGAGACTGTTATATAATCATGTATAGATCAACCTCAGTCTTTTTAATGGTGCAGAATTTCCATTTTAAGCCTAATCTATTTACCTAGCCCCTCACTAATGGATATCTATTTTTACTTTTTCTTTATTTTTTTTTATTTTTAAACAATGCTGCTCTAAATATTCTTGTCTGTAGGACTTTGTGCAAATGTGCAAATGTATCTGTAATGTGAATTTCTGTAAGTGGAATTATTAGATCAAAAGTCATATGAATTTTAACTGATAGATATTGTCAAATTGCGTTCTAAACAGGTGACACCAATTTATGCCCCCATGAAGTATAAGAGTATCCTTTTTCGTACATCCTCAGCAATATTGTGTATTATGAAACTCTTTTGCTTTTCCAATGCGATAAAGAAAAATATCTTACTTTTGTTTTATTTCCATTGCTAGAATTTGAAGAAAGTTGAAGGTGTTTTTCTTATGTTAGAAAGCCATTTTATTTATTTTTCTGTGAACTGCTATTTATGACTCACTCTTTGAGTTTTAGCCTGTCAAATTTATCCATCTTTCAAGGTTTTTAAGTTTATTTCTTTTTGAGAAAGTCTTTCTCCACACTGAAATTATAAAATGTTTCCAAATTTTCTTCCAGTGTTTTTATAATTTTATTTTTAAAAATAGTTAAATTTATATTTCATCTAGAATTTACCTTAAGTAAGGAAAAATATATGCAATCAGCTTTATTTTTATTTTTTTACGTTATTTTTTTTGAGGAAAATTGGCCCTGTGCTAACATCTGTTGCCAATCTTCCTCTTTTTTTTTTTTTTTTTTCCTCCCCAAAGCCCCAGTACGTAGTTGCATATCATAGTTGTAGAGTTGTAGCTCTTCAATATGGGACACAGCCTCAGCATGGCTTGATGAACGGTGAGTAGGTCTGCGCCCAGGATCTGAACCGGTGGCCTCTGGGCCGCCAAAGCAGAATGTGCGAACTTAACCACTATGCCACCAGGCCAGCCCCTCAGCTTTATTTTTTATCCAGATGGCAGGCTAGAGTTCTCAACATCATTTATTCAATATACCATCCTTTCCCCTTTATTGTATATACATTATCACATGTATTTGTACCTATTTCTGGATTCTCCGTTCTGTTCCATTTATCTGTTTATTAAAGTACAAAATGGTTTTAATTATTATAACTTTTTATCATGTTTTAATATCTGATAGAGTTACTCACCTCTTATTAATCTTCTTTTCTTTAGAATTTGTTTATTTATGCACATTTTTCCATCAGCTTGCCTAATTTAAAAAAATCTTGTTTTTATTACAACTTTCAAATGTTAAATCAACCTTGCATTCCTAAGATAAACACATTTAGTCATGGAGCATTATCCCTTTTACACATTGTTGGATTCAGTTTGCTAATATTTTTTTAAGGAGTTTTGTGTCTATGTTCATAAGAGATATTAGTCTATTATTTTCATCCTTTTGTAATGTCTCTGCCAGGTTTTGGTATTTGGGTTATGCTGGCCTTATAACCGTAAAACAAGTTGGAAAGTGTTCCTTCCTCTTTTATTTTCTAAAAGATTTTGTATATGAGTGGTGTTATCTCTTCTTTGAATGTTTGATAGAATTTATAAGAGAAATCTTCTGGGTCTGAGATTCCTTTGTGGGACAGTTTTTGATAACAAAGTTTGTTTTGTAAATATTGGGTGACTCATACTTCTTCTTTGATTCTGTGTTAATTTTGGTAAATGGTATTTTTCAAGGAATTTGTTAAGTTTAAGTTGTATTTGAAAGCATAAAGTTGTTAATATTCCACTACTATCCCTTTAATTCTATAAGATATTTAGTGATATCTTCCTTCTTTCCTGATATTGGTCATCTGCATTCTGTCTCTTTTTTCTGTTGATGAACAAATCAATTTTGTTCATCTTAGTAAGAACATGCTTTTTTCATTTTGTTAATGTTCACTGTTGTCTGATTTCTATTTAGTTGATTTCTGCTCTTTTTTTTTTTTTTCCTTTCGTCTACATACTTTTGGTTTACTTTGCTTTTCCTTTTTTCAACTTTTTAATTTGAAACCCAAGGGCATTGAATTTATGCCTTTCTTTTCTAATATGAACATTTAAAGCTATAAATTTCCATCTAAGCACTACTTTCACTGTATCTTACAGATTTTGATAGGTTGTGCTTCTATTATCATTCAGTTAGAAATAGTTTCTAATTTTTCTTGTGATTTATTCTTTGACCCACGGATACTTTAGAAGTTGTACTGACAAATTTCCAAATAAGTTGAGTTTTCCTAGATATTTTACTATTACTAAATTTTAATTTAGAGAACATACTATCTTTTATTTTAATCCTTATAAATATGTTGAGACATTTTATTGATTGAACTATAGTATTTCTTGGTGAATGTACCATGTGTATTGAAAAGAATTTTGTGTGCAGTTTTCCATAAATTTGTTGTTTAGATTATCTATGTTTTTATTGATTTTGTCTAGTTTTTTATCAGTTAGTGAGAGAGGAATGTTAAAATCTACTATCAGTGTGGGATTTTCTTGTTGTCTCTTTACTATTAGGTGCATACACATTCATTATTGGTATGTCTTAAAGATAAATTGAGCCTTTTTTATTATACAGTGTTCCTCTTTATCTCTGGAAATATTCTATGTCTTGACAAGTCTATTTTATATCTGCTATTATGATAGCCACTCCATCATCTTTATCTTACTTTTGCATTGTATATCTTTTTTTTTTTACCCATTTACTATCTATGTCTTTGCATTAAAAGTGCATTTCTTGTAGATATCACATAACTGAGTCATTCTGATAATTTCTGCCTTTTAATAAGAGTGTTTAGTCTCTTCACATTTTATGTAATTTTGATGTGATCGAAGTTAAGGCTACCTTAATTATATATATATATAAATAAATAATTATTTGTTTTTCATTTCCCTCTTCTATTTTTTATTCCTTTGTCCTCTTCTCAATCTTTTTAAAATTAGTTAAATATTCTTCATAATTCAATTTTAATATATCTATTGGCCTTTTAGCTATAACATTTTATAATTTTGTGGTTGCTTTAGGGCAGAGTTTCTCAACCTCAGCACTATTTATATTTTGGTCAGGACAATTCTTTGGTGTGGGAAGCTGTTCTGTGCATTGTAGGATGTTTAGCAGCAGCCATGGCCTCTACACTCTAGATGCCAGTAGCACCTTGCCTCTGTTATGATAATCAAAATTGTCCCCAGATATTACCAAATGTGCCCTGTGGGCAAAATCAACCCAAATTGAGAAGCATTGCACTAGGAATTATAATATACTTAACTTTTTACAGTCTAGTTAGAGTTAATATTAGAACACTACCCTTAAAACATACAGACCTTGTAAACATACTGTTCTGAGAATGTAAATGTTGA